GTGGGTGGCAAGCCACTCCCACAAAGGAGGCCACACCCACACAGTAGGTTCCAACAATTTTTGAAACCCCCACTGGTCCTAACTAAAGGGCACATCCAGACAGCCAGTGAACTTTCCTCTAGCCCAGGCAACCTTAAACACTCAAAGAGCCATTTGGACCCATTTCCAACAGAAAATAAAACACTGGGAGCCACAAAACTGTTCCCATGTCTGACTATTTCCTGAGCACCCACAAAACTAGCATATGTATTTGAATTAAAGGTTCTGTTTTCCTCTGAAACTTTTCTTTTCTTGGATTTATCCATGGTTGGCCTACTGGGGGTTGAAAAACTCAATAAGTCATGTGCTGTTGGGTGTCGCACATTGGCAGTTGTGACACATATTTTGAGCAACAAGGAGCAACAACAGAAGGATGAAAGAGTCACATGCAGCTCCAGAGCCATGGGTTGCTCTACTCCAGTGATGGCTAACCTTTTCTGGACTATGCCCCCCCCCCTTGGTCCCCATGCACACACGGGCCCTGGCACACGCCACACACCCCACAAATGCTCAGCACAGACCCGATGACCAACTGGCCGGTGGGAGGCTTGTGCACATGTGCAGCAGAACTGAACTAGGGTGACATCTTTCAAGCCCACAGAGCCGGCATTGCATGCCACCTGTGAAACACGTGCCATAGGTTCACCATCATAGTGATAGACTTTCTCCAGGAGGAACCTGGCCAACGTTCGCCCTTCAGATTTTCTAATGGTGCATCCATTGTTACTGTGACCAACTCCATCCATCTTGCTGCTAGGTGTCCTTTTTCCTTCCATTTTCCCCAGTATTAGAGACTTCCCAACAGATCTAGTTTTTTACATAATGTGTCCAAAGTTGAACCTGATCATTTGAGCCTGGGACGATAACCTGTTTTGATTTATTTGATGATCCATAGCAAGAGTCTTCTCCAACTTTAAATTTCAAAAGCATCACTACTCTTCCTGTCTTGCTTCTTTAAAGTCTAGCTTTCACTTTCATAGAATGTCACAGGGAAAATCATTTCCTGCACAATTACCTGCAGTTTTTCTTAGGAGAACTAAAGAATATTTATTATTATTTTATTATTATCAAAAAATGAAGAAGCAGAAAAACTCTAGTGGTTAGCCTCCTCTCATTTACATTTTAAGACCAATGCAGCAGAAGCTTTCAACCTTTGTGGTTATTAAAGAGAGTCAGTCTACTTATAATCAGAGAGGTCACAGATAAGCATGCTTCCCCTCTTGTGTGAGAAAAGTATTTTTCATGCAGGTCCTTCATACATTTGGGGGCCCTCATGTTCTTGTCTTCTGTTTTTTTTGCTCTATCTTGTCAACTTCAAAGTATTCTACTTTTGGACACATTCTGTGAAGACCCAGCTCTCTGCAGAAGGATCTAATGTTGGGAAAGGTGGAAAGGAAGAGGAGAAGAAGAGGACAACCAGCAGCAGATGGATGTGATGGATGCACAGTTGGATGACCAGGTTGGAGACAGATCGTCATGGAGAAAATCAATCTAAGGGGTCTCTGGAAATTGAAAACAACCTGATAGCACATAATCAAGGAGTCAACTTGCCTGCAGAAGATTTATGGAAGATTCAAAAGCTTACAGGCTATTTTGTGATGTTGATTACCTAACAATTATCCTATGGTGGAAGAGAGATTTTTCCCTCCAATGTGTGTGCATGCATCATAAAAAACATCCATTGTGTGGGAAATGTCAAGGTTGAAGTTAAAAGCATTTAGTTGCATAATGAATCCACAGTATCCAGGATTACAACTTTTCCCTTGACAATAATTAGAAAGACACAGAGAATTTTTTTTTGTTCTTACCATTGTTTTTAAGAAACAGAAAAAAGAGAGATGGAGAGTTTACATAAAGCATAATGTGTAGTTTGGAGTGATGGCTGATTTCTTCTCGGAGTAAATCAGATTTTGAATACTTGTTGAGAAATGTAAAGTTTTATTTTCTTACAACCAGTTTTGATTTGGAAGCAGATTTCCAACCTGTTGCTTTTCTTACAGAATAAAACTTTCCCTATGTAATCCCATTGTGAGATTAATCTCCACTCAGAATTTGGAGTCTGTGGAATTGGAATAGTTGAGGGCCTGTGATTTTTCAGTTCCTTGCCAGAATTTCAACACTTATTTCAGTTCTGGAGAAATGTGTGGGATTTGGGACAAAACTAGTGCAGATACTTTTGCCTCGTATCCATTCTTTCCCTGGCCTTCTTGCTTTATGAAAGTTGATCAGAGTTTTTTATGAGACAGAAATGAATCAGTTCTGCTTCGTGATTGCACCAAACATACATTTGGGTTCCTATTCAGGAGAATGATTAATGGCCCAGGAATAGCACAATATCACCTTGGGAACAATTGATGAGAGCTTTCTCACTTACAAACATTGCCTGCCTCAGTTAAATAGCTTTATGAGGAAAGCCATAAGAGTATTTTTGAAAACACAGGTATTGACGCACGAGTAATCAAAACCATTTGTTTGGTGAGGTCACTAATCTGATGGTGTTTTTCCAAGTACTTGTTATGTAGGTATCTAGCTTGCAATATGTACAATTTCGGTTCAGTATTTATTCCTCCCTAATACCGTATTATGTATGTTCATCAAGGAATTGTTCCTCATAATTTATTGTAAGGTATTCCTTTTATTAAGAGAGCCAGTTTGGTATGCAGGTAGTCCTCCACTTACAAAAGTTTATTTAGTGACCGTTGAAAGTTATAAGGGTACTGAAAAAGTGATTTATGACCATTTTTCACACTTTTGTAGCATCCCCATGATCATGTGATCAATAATCAGATGCTTGCCAACTGGTTCATACTTGTGACTGCTGCTGTTTCCCAAGGTCATGTGATCCTCTTTTGCAACCTTTTGACAAGCAAAGTCAATGGGGAAGCTTAACTTAACAACTGTGTTACAAACTTGTCAAATGCAGTGATTCACTTAACAACTGTGGCAAACAAAAGTCATAAAATGGGGTAAAACTCACTTGACAAATGTCACAGAAAGCAACAGAAATTTTGGGCTCAATTGTGCTCGTAAGTTGAGGACTACCTCTAGTGGTTAAGACACCAGGCTAGAAACTGGGGAACCATGAGTTCTGGTCCCATCTTTGGCACAAAGTCAGCTGGATGATCTTGAGCCAGTCATTCTCCCTCAGCCCTAGGAAAGAGGCAATGGCAAACCACTTCCAAAGAAAACCTTGCCAAGGAAACTGCAGGGATTTATCCAGACAGCACCTAGGAGTCAACATTGACTGAAAAGCACAAGATGATGATGATGATGATGATGATGATGATGATGATGATGATGATGATGATGATGATAATGCACTTTTAAAAAAAATTTTGCACTCTAGGCTTGCAGACGGCAGAAAATTAACTGATTGATCTCGAAGCGAGAGCCATACACTTACAGCCACAATGGCAGAAGATGCTGATATGCGCAATGAGCTCGAAGAAATGCAGCAGCGGGCTGATCAGATGACTGATGAGGTAAAGAAAAGGGCAGAAAAATATGTGCAGTACAAGGAATTGAGCACCTCCGAAGGACAGGAAGTTGGGGGTACTGCTTTGTTTATTTACAACTCATGTGTTGCCTTTGAACTGGACTAGGGATTAGAACTTGAAACTTCCCAAAGGTGCTTTTTCAAGAGACAACTGGACATTCTGGGTTTTTTTAAAAAGACGTTTTGCTTCTTATCCAAGAAGCTGAAGAAGCTTCTTGGATGAGAACTGAAACATCTTCAAAGAAAGTTCAGTTGCCTCTTGAAAAAGCTCCTTCAGGGCAACCATGACCTGGATGATTGAGAACCTCCATAGACAACTTGAAGCTTCCTTATTAAAGCTAATCTCTGCCCAAAGGGCAATGAAGGAAATTTCCCCCAGTTGCACCTGATGAAATGATGAACAGGCTTGGATCACCTGGTTTTTCTGCCATGTTGCTCTCATACTGCTGCCATTCTTACTTTAGGCAGCCTTAAATCATCCCTGGCTTTTTAGCTTTAAAATAGCATTTCCCCTTTCAAGCTATCAAAAATGTGCAGCAGTTTTATTCTTGCTGCAATTTCATAGGCTTCACCAACCAACTTAAGTTGGTGTTGCAGTCAGGGTGGGATTAAGGGGTGGGATCCAGAGGTGGGCTGTTGCCGGTTAGGACCGGTTCAGGTGAACCGGTAGTTCCAACCAATGATTGGGCCTGCCAACCCATCCCGGGGCTATCCCATCCTATATAATCACCTTGTTTTTGATGACGAATCCCCGTGGAGATTTGTACCCTCACCACCCTTCAGACCTTCTGCGTAGCCCTTAAAACCTGGCTGTCCCGACAGGCCTGGGGCTAAAGACTTCAACCCCACCCGAATAGTATGACTGTTGTGCTTTTTAACGATGTATTGTCTTCATGTGTATAACTTGTTTTGTCCTTCCCTCCCCCTGAATTGTTAGCCGCCCTGAGTCCCCTCAGGGAAAAGGGCGGCATACAAATAAAGTTAAATCCAAATCCAAATCCAATGACGCGCGCATGCGCACGCTCACATTTTTGGTTCAGAGCTAACCGGTTGTTACATTTATGTGATGCCCACCTCTGGTGGGATCAGACTAGCAACTATTGACCATCTTAGGCTGCAATGAACATTTTTCTTCTCCCTGCAGTCCATGGGCAGGGTCCTATGGGGCCATTCAGGCTTGTGCAGTGGGGAAAGAGATCCAGCCTCTTCCCTATTTCCTATTTCTCTAAGGTGATCCCTCCTTTTGAAAGAAACATAAGCCCAACCAACAGATATCAGGTCTACCTATAATCAATTGGCTGGGTTAATTTAAACATGATTTTAATTCTTTTTCCAAAGAGTGCTAACCTTTTTTTTGAAAGCAGCCCAAGAAACAACTGATCGGGCTTTGATGATTGGGGTGGTGGTGGTGGTGGAATGTGAAATGATATCTTCTTCATTTTAGTGTGGGAAATCCTAACTATCCATAAGAGTAGTTAAGGGGCTTCAGTGCCTGTCTGAACTGACCCTTAGGCTGGGAGAGGAGGCAGGTGAAGCTGAAGGCGCCAATCATTGGCTTTCTTTAGCCAACCCTTTCAGATTTGGCATCTGATCAACTCCTTGAGATGTGAAACCTGATGTGTAGAGCTGATTTCCCCCTTTATTCCTGTGATCTATTTTGGGATAGAGCCATGCTGGCACAATGGTTAGAATGCAGTATTACAGGCTAATCCTGCGTCTGCCAGCAGTTTGATTCTCACTGGCTCAAACTTGACACAGTCTTCCATCCTTCTGAGGTTGGTAAAATGAGGACCCAGATTGTTGGGGGCAACATGCTGACTCTGTAAACTGCTTACAGAGGGCTGTAAAGCACTAAAGCGCTATATAAGTCCAAGTGCTATTGTTATTGTTATTGAGAGCTTGGGCAAAGCCTGGGACAGCTTTTGACAGATGGCTAAGCCAACGAATTTAACAATTCTTTTGTATCTTCTTTTCTATTCATCCAACTCTATCCCAATTAAGGAAGGTGATGGGTGGAAATTCTTCTGCCAGCTGGGCATATTTGGAGAAAAAAGAAGGAAGCAAAACTGGGGGAATCTTCCATTCGCTTTCCTTAATTTGCCCTGCATACAAATAATAAGCAAAACACTAGTACATTTGGAGTGATGAATAGTACTTTGATCTACAAGAAATTACTCATTGTAGCAAAGTAATTCTAGCAGGAATACTGTCCAAGAGAAAAGCATATCCATGTTCCACAACTGAATCACAAAGCTTTCACTGAAGATGAAAGAATGTCTTTTATTATTCATACATTTTGTGCAGTGACAAATTGAATAAAAGTTCTATTATTTTTATAGGAGGTATCAGACATTTATATGCAGGAAACTAATATTTATCAACTTCCTCTAGGAATCTAACAGGATAAATTAAATTACATTAAATTAAAGACTAAAGAGACCTTTGATCTGATACAGCAAGGTTCTCCTTATGCTTCGGTTAGCTATAGATTTATCTGTACATATTTACAATATTATTTGGTACCTGGAACATTATTTCAAGTGAGAAAATTGAACAGCTTTCTACTAGAAATCAGATTGGCTTCTGCATTATTGGTTTTCTGTATATTTTAAAGACAGAATTGGGCAGAGAGCATCTGGAGAATGAAATGACACCATTGTTATTACTGTATAACTTTATTTTACCCTGTTAAATTTCTTATGAATGTTATGCTGTTCTTCTACTCAAATCAAATCAAGCTTATTACAATCAAAGACCAGAGACCAGAACAAATAAAAACACTCAAGGAATATCCAGTTAAAAATTCTAGAATAAAATAATAAATAACAGATAAAATCTATATTCAAATCACAATTTGGCATCCAATCTGTCAGATACACATGGCCTAACTATCCTATAATATCAATCCTTAAACTGCGAGGTCCATCGTCATTAAATACTAAAATGCAAAAGAGGAGTCGTGCAAAAGGGTTTCCTATATTAGTTGTGTAAAATAGCTATGGTGGATTAATCATGTGTTTCCGATCAATCCCCAGTGCTGCTAGCCACCAGATTGTTCTTCTACTGTATTTTTTTACTATTGATTGCCATATGTTTTTTGTTAGCTACTGAGAATCTGTGGATAGAAGCAGGTTTAAACAAAATAAACTCCTTCTAACCATCACTAAGATGAAATATAGATTCTTAAATAAATAAACGAGGCTGTAATGCAGTGTTTCTCCAAAATTGAAGAAATGTGATTTAAGTTTCTTTCTGCTTTTCATACTTAACATTTGTCCAAGAATAATTTTTGACATTCAGCCATATGTGAAGCGATCATAGTTTATGCAATCTTAGATCAACGATTCTTAGATCAATCTATATTACGTGGCTGCTCTGAGAATCCTAAATCTTAAACTCCTTGCAGGGAAGATACTATAGTTTAAACATAATAAATTGAATCTTCTCTATAAACAGGAGATAAACAATACTATTGATTTTATCTTCTTTTCATTTTTTAATGTATTTAAGAAATGTATGGACTGCCCTCTTCTATAGTGATTCTGAAGGGCTTCTAATAAAAACGATCATAAAAGCAAAATAAAAGGATGTCAAAAAGAGGAATTCCTAAAATTAAAACATGAGTACTAAATACATTTTTAGACTCCTCCTAAATGATAACATGGATGGTCTTTGTTCCAAAACATGGATCCTGTCTCCGAAAAAGCAGAATTTATTGTCAGTGGCAAATGTTTTTGAGCCCAGATAGGAACAGTTGTTTTGGCAACTTGAGAAAACTGAGACTTATATTGTGGCGAAAAGCCCGGGAACTTTAGTACTGGCTTTTCACCAGTTAGTGCCAATATTGTGTATCTAAATAACTTTGTACTTTGACAAAACGGAATGCCTTGGAGTTCAATTTGTGATGGATGCATTACTTGGTACCTGAGATTCAGATTGATAATGATCTGCGCAGGATGGAGTATTTGACTAATATGATTGGTCTTATCAATATATAATTTGAAACATTTTGTTAATCTCAACACTGTTTTGTTTCTTTTCTGCATTAGTCCCTCGAAAGCACCCGTCGTATGCTGCAGCTTGTTGAAGAGGTAAGACTGTTATGATTTATCTTGATTCTTCCTCCTGGCTAGCCGGAACTGAGGCTTCTCAGTACATGACAAAGCATATCCATCTTAGACTTACATAATGACTTTTCAGTCATTATGAGCTGCGCTGATGCAGTGGTTAGAGTGCAGTACTGCAGGCTACTTCTGCTGATCACTGGCTGCCAACAATTGGGCAGACTGAATCTCACCAGGCTCAAGGTTGACTCAGTCTTCCATCCTTCCAAGGTGGGTAGAATGAGAACCCAGATTGTTGGGGGCAATAGGCTGACTCTGTAAAATCACTTAAGAGAGGGCTGTAAAGCACTGTGAAGCAGTATATAAGTCTAAGTGCTATTGCTATTTTCCAAACACAATGAAAATGGTTATTTTAAAGTGTTTTCTTTAGGTGAATATTTACACACACTGCTAACATAAAGCCAGAGGTTTTTATATGTATGTGCCTTCCTGTGAAACCATGACTGGTTTTCATAAGGAGCATCCCATGTAAATCCTTTGTCTGCTTTTGAGGGCGCAATACATGCATATAACATTTTCAATACTCTTCCACATCCTGTGAAATCAGAGGGAAAATTAGAGAACAGGGACCGCTCAAAAGGACCAGTATTTGCTTGGCCAATGAGAGTGGCTTTCACCAGTCCCATTTAACTCTGTTAGAAATATTTTGAGATTAGAACAAATAAATCCCCCAGAATTTGAAGAAGGAGCTGCAAAAGATATTGGATTGGACCTGGTCCCATTTAAAGTAGAATGATTAACGTCAATAGGATTTAAGTTAGCTACTTTAAGCCTCACTCATTTCAGTGATTTATTTGATACATGATTGAAAACAACATGTATGTATACACATCCATCCCACTGTTCCCTTTAATGGCCATCAGTCTTATGCAAAAAGCCCAAAATGAATAAAAAAATATTGGAAGGAAGAAAAATGAAGGTAGGAGATGGACGGGGGGGGGAGAGAAAATGGAAACATAATTAAACCTTGTTTTTCACTACAAATCATACAGGTAGTCCTTGACTTACGACCACAACTGAGTCCCAAATTTCTGTTGTTAAGTGAATTTTGCCCCATTTTATGACCTTTCTTGCCACGGCTGTTAAGTGAAGCACTGCAGTTGAGAAGTTGGTAACATGGTTGTTAAGTGAATCTGCCTTGCCCATTGATTTTACTTGTCAAAAGATTGCAAAAGGGGATCACATGACCTTGGGTTAGAGTTGAATCAGTTGCTAAGCATCTGAATTTTGATGACATGATCCTGGGGATACTACAAAGGTTGCAAGTATGAAAAACGGTCATAAGTCGCTTTTTTTCAGTGTCATTGTAACTTTGAACGGTCACTAAATGAACTGTTGTAAATAAAGGACTACCTGTACTTTGCATACCATAGTGAGGAGACGCTCGGAATAAAAATGATCTTGTGCAAATCACCTAAAACGTGCCCAAGCATAATGTCCTTACTATACATAAGGTTTGCTGCATGTGACATGGGTGTGGCTAAGGCTAATAGGCAAGTCTGCCAGCAGTTTGGCAGATCGAATCTCACCAGGCTCAAGGTTGACTCAGCCTTCCCTCCTTCTGAGTTTGGTAAAATGAGGACCCAGATTATTGGGGGCAATATGCTGGCTCTGTAAACTGCTTAGAGAGGGCTGTAAAGCACTGTGAAGCAGTATATAAGTCTTACGTGCTATTGCTATTTGGAAGTGCTGTGCTACATTGACAAGCCTATCTTAGCACAACACAGATTACATGCATAATTTCTACATGCTAGCTCTCCACATGAGACAGTTTGGTCTAGTGGTTAAAGCACCAGCTAGAAAGTGGGAGACTGTAGTTCTAGTCCCATCTTGGCCATGAAAGCTAGCTGGGTGACCTTGAGACAGTCAGTCACTCTCGGCGTCCTGCACATCACAGGGGTTGTTGTTGGGAAAATAAGAAGAGGAAGGTGTTTTTAGGTGTGTTCTCCACCTTGGTATCCATATCCAAGACATGGATAGAAAATAATTCTATCTAAACGTTTTCTATCCTGTTTCTAAGGATAGAAAATAAACACACACACAAACAAAATCACGTTGAAATGTCAATACTTTCAGAATGGTGGCAAAGCTACACAAAACTCCAGCATTATCATTGGGATCTGGCATTCAAGCAGTTAATTTAATTAACTGACTTAGAAAACTATAAACTATAGTAATAGAGCAGAGGAAATAAACAGCATCTATTTATTTGGAGCTCAGATTGCCTAGAGACCAAACTGTGGCAACAGAGTTGTCAGATGATCAGTCATTTCAAAGCAGTTTGTTAGTAGATTAGGGTTAAATCCATTTTATCAGCGCATGAAATGAAAAGATTCTGTGAAACAGGTTGTCCTGCAGGAGTGTTGAGCAGCAGTGGGTTTTTTTCCTGATTTAATAATAACACCATTTATTTGCAGTAATGAACTATGCAAACACACACAGAGAGAAAGGAATTGGAACACTGTAAAATGTTTTATATACATTACCCTTTTGTAACCCATACATTCACTCTGGAAGGTTCATCAGCATTATTAGCCGTGTATTGCCGATGGAGATGAGAATGAGGGGGAAAATGCTTAGCTCTTCGTTTGACCATGTAATGTTCTGGTCTTAAAGTTTAGAGAAACAAAAGCAGCAACTTATTAAATATATAATTTAATTGTGTATTTTCTGGGTGAGCCGGTCCCCAATCTAATGGGAGAATTTTGTCTTCTGAAAGACAATATTACCGTTTCTATACTTTTTGATCAACTAGAAAATTTGGAATTTGTATTTTCTCTCAGTCCCTGTGAAACATTCAAGAACTAAGATTCAGATTCTACAGTCAGATTCCACTATGTTGACTTTAAGTTTCTTCAGCCTTAACCTCTGTACATGACACTATGTACATTAGTGTGACTACACATTCAATTACACATGGACTCCTGACTGAAATAGGTTGATTCAGAAAAAAAATTAAGAAACATCACAATTAGAGAAAGATTTATCTGAAGTGAGGCACATCTGAAGCTTTCTTGGTAATCTAGAGATTCAGAGACATAAATGAGGTTCCCATTTTTTTTTAAAAAAAATCACAATACAGAGTAGAAAAATTCCATTTTTTGTGACTAGTCTGTAATCACAATAAACAGTTTTCACAGTGGTATATTGAAAGACTTGAAGGACTGATATACTGCAAGACTGAGCCAGTGTTCTGTTTGGTTCTGAGAACTTAAAAAAGTTTTGGTTGATTCAGAAGAGTGCAACATTGGATACTTCCTTTTAGTTGCTGCTTAAATAGAAAATGTGACAAATGGTACTTGCTTTTTATTCATTTTAAATTTGTAGTCCCTGCAGCTACTCTCCTGCAATTGTTCTAAGAAAGTACTACAATGAAATATGTCACTTTCATACAAATTTCCTGAAAAATAAGCATAGGAAAAGGGGGGGGGATTACAAACATTTTATTTGTTTGTTTATTTATTTATTTATTCAATATCTATAGTTACCTGTTCTGACCCCCCTCGTCCCACACCAACACACACTCCGAGCCAAAGATAAATTATGGCATTTAATTAACAGACAGACAGGTCCTTGGCAGCAAACCGGCACAGAGAAGCTTGGGCAGCAATCCAGCATAGATAAGGCTTGGCAGCAATCCAGCCTGCCAAGCTCACAATCATGTTCTCCAACATTAGTTCCTGTGTTGACTTCTGCAAGAGGGGCGTGTGCACAAGTAAGTCCTTTTATAGTCTGGAGAGGAGCCTAATGACCACCAGCTGAGTGCAATTACCTCCTGTAACTGTGCAACTGTTCCTGACGTCTATTAGCTCTTCGGTGCCGGGCATCCAGGAACAACTCACTGCTGACCTCAGGCTCACACTCCCTTGTCTCCTCCCCACTGGTCCAAGCCTCAGGTGCCTCCTGGTGGCCAACCAGCCTCTCTGTGCCCTGCTCAGAGTCGGAACCCTGGACAGGGTCCTCCAGAACCGACTCATAGGGCCCCTCACTGTCGGAGTCTGGTGGCAGCTCCAACGGCTCCTGCTGGGCCACAACAGTTACCCATCTTAGTCAATGACTCTGGGCAGCTTACAATCAAAAATATATTACAATAAAAAGCACTGAAGACATTTTTAAATCAATTGTGGACTAGCAGGGGGGGGGGGAGAGGATTGTTCTATGCGAATGGCAGGCTTGCCACTTATGCAAATGGAGCGCACTCACTCGCCTGCTTTTTATACAAGTGGGAATGCATCTGGGTGTATGCACTCGCCTACCACTTCTGTGGCTCGATTCAGAATGGCTCAAGGCCTGGTAGTCAGCCATGGCCCGGGGGTTGGGGAACCCTGCCTTAACACATTCAGCATCCTAGGCTTGAGAAAGTAGCCAAATCCCATTCCTCATAATTTTAAGACTCTTTAACCTACCCACTTCATCTATCAACTATCCTTATGAAAGGTTTTCAAATGTTTTGTTTATTCATTATTATTATCTTATGGGAGAGAAAAATAGAAATTAGTTTAGATGGGATTTTCACGCTTATGTACGGGTGTATTTCCTGTCCTTTCATTCCTGATTCAACCATCTACACTTATCATAGTCAAAATCCTAGCCTAATTCCATATTGGATAGTTTTCATGTTTTAGCTAAATATTTACACATATTACCTAAATAATATACAAAAAAGATTTTACTTATATATACTCTATTAAATGCACTCCTATGGACGCCAGTACCATGTGCATGTTGGCGATCTAGCTCCATTGTCAGTTATTGAAAGAAAACAAACTAGAGCAAATAATAAGAATAATTTTGGAACAATCGGTTCCTAACTTGCAGAACCAAAATTGAGCCATCATTTTCTAATGACTCCTTCTTCCTTCTGAAATTATCTGGTGTTGCCATGAGTCCCAAGGTGAGTCATTCTAATCTGATGTCCTCCAAATAGCAACACTTATGTTGTTACTAACCAGTCAGGTCATTATTTAAACTACAGAATTACCCTCCAATAGTTCCACTATAGGGACTACAATTCTCAGAAGACCAGTAAGTATCCCCATAGAGCAAGACAGGGAACACTCTCCTAGTAGTACCGATGTGATATCTATTGCATTGTTTCTTTAATGCTATTGACTATAAACTTTACTCTTTCTTATTGCCTTTCTTTCACTGTTAACTTTGATTTGAACTTAACTATTAGTTCCTTCACTAATTTCTTTCTTTCTTTATCTATCTCTGTGTCTCTCCGTTCCATCTTGTTATCCTCACTGGAATATAGAGCAAGGATGCTGGTATCAGGACCTTGGTTATGTTGGATGAGCAAGGAGGTAAGTTCAGGTTGCTTACCCAAAAAAACCCTTTTAGGAACAGTAAACTTTAGACCAATTAATGGTCTTATACTAACACATGTATATACTTAGACAGGTGTTTGTTTATAGGTCTTGATCTGCAGCCATCTAAACTAGGAAGATGTTGCTAGCACATGCCTTTTTTACTTAAAATGAACATAAATCTTCTAATCAGAGCTACAGTATTTAACATTTTAACATTCCTTAAGGTTTCTTTGAAGCACAGATTATTTTAGGGATCAGGTTCTCTGCATTCTGGAAGAGGAAAGAATTTTGATAGTGAAACTTGAACAAGCTAGATAATGGGATATTCAACACAAATGCATATAGGAAACAGTCAGATCTCCCTATAAAACGTTCCAAAATTAATATTGGTGGTTCTTTTAAATGCAAGCTTGTAAGTCATTCAAAATATGGAAATGTTCCATATGCTTTAAAACAATTTTCGGTATACTTTAAACAATTGGGACAGGCTATGCTTCCATTAGACCATGAATAACTCACAGATAATCTGATTCATCAAATGATGTGAATCTCAAAATTATGAAATTGGATTATTTAAATGCTCAGTTGACAGATCCCTTCCATTTCTTTTGGATCTTCTCCTGACTCTTTTAAGTTTCCTAGATTGCTTGTTTATTTTGATGTTGAAGAAAATTTACAAGGCTCGGTTGTCCGTTTCAGAATAATGAGAACATTAGAATGGCTTCACTAAATCAAGCCAAGGCCCAAAAGGCATTTTGTTTCTAAGAGCAGAGAGGCAGATGCCTCTGCAATGCTTGGGAGGAGATGCACCCTCCATACCTTTTGTTCCTCTATGACTGGCATTTGGAGATAGCATAGTGCCTCCAGTATGTCTTCAAGATGAATTGCTTCTCATCGTTCTGTTGTCCATGAATTTATCCATTTCCCTTTAAAATCCTTCTGATTTAATGGCTATCAGTATATCTTGTGATAATAATTTCCACAGTTCAGTTATGAGCTGTGTTCTTTTTATCATCTGTTCCAAATCTCCTTCCAATCCATGTTCTTAAGGAGAAAGAAAACCTTCTGCATATCACACCTAATTTTATAAACTTTGATTATATTGTCCCCTTGGTGGTCTGTTCTCCAAACCAAATAATTAGCTTAGATTAAGAGTTTATTTCTGCCTTTAAAAAAATAATCATCAGTTCAATGTAAGAATGTTCAAGGTCCTGCCCACATGAAAAAAATAATAATACAGAACATTGTTGAACACAGGCTACAATTCACCAAAGAGAAACTATAAGTGGGTTTGAAATCTTCATGGATTTGAGGGAGGAATATGAGGGAAGGAACTGATACATTTTCAAGAGATATTGAGGTACCGTGTGGTAATAAATGATGTCTAAAGAGGCGGGCCTTTGCTCATTCAGCCCTGCCTTCCATTTTGATATTCTATCTTGACAGTCCTGCAGACACCCTCAATATAACAACTGTGTAACTTCTAGGCAAGTTTCTGCTTTTGAGTTTAGCATTAGTAACAACGGGCCTTGTATTTCTTGATTCAGAAGAAGAAGCATAGATACCAAGAGGGGATTATTTGACCCATAGTCTAAAGTTTAACAGAAACTAAATGCTACTACTAATATCACATGAAAATTATCTGGTACAACACACAAAACTCAAGCACATACTGATTTAAGGTATGCTAGGGGCCACAAGGCTGGTCCTTTTAAAGACACAAACTGTAGCTGTAATCAGTTGGTGAATCCATGAATCACAGCTCCACGAATGCATCTCAGGTGTCTTAATTGTCTTGAATCCACAAATATATACTCCAAAATCAATGAAATTGAAAATTTTTAAAATATCAGTATTTCCTTTGGTGAACAACCTGTGGCCATTACATGGCATTTTTTGTCCAGCAGTGCTGCTGAAATTTAGTGATATACTGAATTATGTGGGGGCTATTTTAACATTTAAGCCAGGGGTCTCCAACCTTGGCAAATTTAAGACTTGTGGACTTGAACTCCCGGAATGGGAGTTGAAGTCCACAAGTCTTAAAGTTGCCACGGTTGGAGACTCCTGATAAGTCACAGCATGTTACCCATAAAATGTGTGCATTTTCCAGGTATGTGTGAACAACAGGGCCTTCTATGTAGAAATTAATTGTCCATTGCATCAGACATTTGCTCCTTATAGCCTTTCGTTTCCTAGCAATTGTCCCTGAACTGGTACTGAAATATAAACTGCAGCTGCTACTCGAAAGCCAACTGAACATCATCCTAGCTGACATCATCCTTTTACATCTGCATTAACTTTCTGCAATCATGTTTACTAAATATACACTTGCCAATTAAATAAAAAGCCATATCAAGTAGACAGAGTTAGGGCTACAGATTTTTTTTTTCTTTTTTTGAAGGAATTTTGCTTTTAAAATTCCACCACCTAGCAGTCATCTCAAGTACCCTTGTAACACACGCTGCTGTTTCAGGATGGATTATGATGGATGGATAGTAGTTCCTTCTTCATCTTCAACTTCCTCTACCAAATCCTTATCTCTTACCTGCCATAGAGAAATTGGAGGAATTAAGAAGAAAAAACCTCTGATACCACAAAACTTTTTTTTCCTCTAAACCTATTCTGTGATTTCAAAAGGCTGGCCTTTGATTTAATGACTACAACTTATATTGTATTTTTCCCTCTTTATATTTAGCCATACAAATACAAACATTTTCGTTTCTGTGCAGAAATGACAAATAGAACCTGTTTTGTGTTGCTAATAATTCTTCTTCTTTTTCTTGTGTTAAATAGAATTAGGTTTTTTTTTTTCCTTTTAAAAGTGTTTCTTCATTATTTTGTTTCCTTAGGGCAGTGGTTCCCAAACTTGGCAACTTTAAGACTTGTGGACTTCAACTCCCAGAATTCTCCAGCCAGCAGAGCTGTCTGCTGGCTGGAGAATTCTGGGAGTTGAAGTCCACAAGTCTTAAAGTTGCCAAGTTTGGGAACCACTGCCTTAGGGTGAAGGGTGGGAAACAAGGTGACATGCCATTGAAATGAATATGTTTATGATAGTGGAAAATAACTGAGGTTCAGAAGGAGGCACCAAGGGGACAATTCTATGTGTACTTTGCCAGAAATAATTACTGCTAAACATGATGAGAATTTTTTTCTACCTAAATATTGACTGACTTGAGCTGTAAGATTATTTGTGCCATCTCAAATGTTTACTTTGTGCTATTCGGCATATCTTAATAAGAATAATGATTCTTAGCCACTTTTCAAAGGCAATCTGTAACTAATTCAAGTCTAAGTCAGCACAGGCTCGGTGGCATTTATAAAAGTCACTTATTATTTGCATATAAATCCAAATAGTGGGCTTGATATTTATGTTATACTGTTCTAATGCAAATCAGGTGTAACTCCATTAAAGTGAAAGGAATTACATTGACCTATTAATGTCCTGGAACCCATGGGGAGATCAGGTAAGCAAGAAATAATGCCTACCAATGGGGAAAAAAAGATGGTCTTCTATTATATATATTTTTCTAACTATCCATCTATTTATCTATATATTGCATCTGCTCTGAGTCTCCCTAATTCTATGGCAGTCTATCCATCTGCTTTTCTGGACATGGAACAAGGTCCTGCACTTTATGTAATTCTTTCTACTCCACTGGGGTCACTCCTAGCATATAATAATGTCACTGACAGAAGAATAAGACCCATGGTCTTCTCTTCTTTAGAGATGGACCTCGGCCCAAAATTCAGATCTGAAGAACCTCAGTCATTGAAAAAAGTTTGTATCTGGACATGGATTTTAACTCAGCTACTCATATCCATTCTAAAACCATTATTAACTGTATACACTTCCACCAAGCAAACCAATTACATTTTCAACCATCATCAAACTCAAAGACATTTGTAAGTGGAAGTATTGTAGATATTGTCCATGGAAGGCAATCATTTAAAACTGTTATCAATGTACACAAATGACATTGCAAGGTAATAATCCAATTTCTTTCTTTTTCTTGGATGTCACTGGTGTCATAGTAACTGGATGTATTGTATTATATTTCTGGATTCTGAGGTATTTGACAGCACCTCCATTTTTTTTTTTACATTTTTGTTCTAATTAGCAGACATCAAGCACTTCTCCATTTCTTTTTTTCCCTATGGATGTATGTGTGCTTCATCATTTTAGTAAAAGGGACTATTTTTTTTAGCTTCTAGGGTTGCTTCCATTTTTGCTTCAATGCATCAGCTGCAATTAATGCATTGAGATGCCATCGTAATAATTCTGTTTCTCCATACATCTTTTTTTTTTCATTTTCTGTTGAAGACAAACAGCTACGACTAAAAAAAACACAAAAAAACAATTCATTCCATACTGTCATCCCTTTGTCCTGACCAGAACAACTCGATCGTGTTGAAGAAGGCATGAACCATATCAACCAAGACATGAAGGAGGCCGAGAAAAATTTAAAAGATTTAGGGAAATGCTGTGGCCTTTTCATATGTCCTTGTAACAAGTAGGTACTTGGTGCCAGTGATGCTCTGTAGTGTCCAGTTTCTTTGTCATGAGTGAATGTCTGAAGTTTTTTTTTCTTTGTCTTTTTTTTTTCTTTGTCCCTTTCCATCTGCTTCATACTATGGGGATAAAATGCTTGTGTTTAATCAGAACAACTGGAACGCATCGAAGAGGGAATGGACCAAATCAATAAGGACATGAAAGAAGCAGAAAAGAATTTGACGGACCTAGGAAAATTCTGTGGCCTTTGTGCCTGTCCATGTAACAAGTAGGTGCTGCCTGCCTGCCTGCCTGCCTGATTTTTAGAGCACTCAAGGCTGACCTCAACAGAGCCTTGTGACGCTCATCCTTGCTTAAGGCACCTGGGCAGGATGAGCATGTGGCATGCAGAGAGAACACTTCTAGTTCCAATGCATTCATCGTATAGTGTAGACCAGAGGTTCCCAAGCTTTCTGACTAACAAACCACTTTGGCCCTCTCTCTAAAATCTCTCTTTGGCTACCTACGACTCCTGCTATCAGCTTTCAAATTTCCACCTTCCAGGGAATCAATGCAGTGGGCAGCCATCTGTCTCACCGTTTGTTCCCAAGACATGTCTAACTGCTATTCCCTGGAAACGTGAATGCTGACCCAGTGACACCTGGCTTCACATCAGTCCCAGTACAGAAGAGACAGTGGCAGTTCACATGTCCCTTCCCCTGGGCCACTGCTGTCACATGTTGGATAAGAGGAGAAGTTTGGTTGTGTGAACTAGTTGCTGCAGCCTCAGAGTTCGACAGTGGCTTGTGTATTTACAGATTGGGAACCACTGGTGTAGACAATAGTAGGATTATAGTAGATGCATTAAAATCAGGCATACCATAGTAAAATTTTTTTACTCTAGGCACTTTTCAATGATGACGATTTCAACATTTTATAGTGTGTTCTATGCAGCATTAAACAATTTAAATTTCTAAAATTATGAGGACCCCATGTAATCTTTTCTTCCTCTGAACAGCCTTTAAAGCAGTACTTCTTGACCACGATTCATGGCTCAGAAATACATAAAACGATTATTTGGATCTGGAGATACATCTTGTTTTCCTTGTTGGATCCCAAGCTATGGGAAAGTAAAATATTGTCAGGGGGGAAAAAAAACCTGGATCCATTTTGCTCATAAGCTGCTCTCCACTGTGTAGCGTGACACCAAGAAAAAATGTTGAAATATATTAGACCTGCTTCCGTATTACTGCCATGAAATGAAAGTGCAGCATAACAAAATGGATGCATCAGCTTTAAAGGGAGGACATAGAGGAGAAAGAATGCGTGCTTAGAGAAATAGGAGATTTCGCGTGGGATGAATTATTGCACGGATGAATGATTAAAACATTTATAAATATTAAAACAGGCCTAGAACGGTGAATATCTGTTTGCATGTGAGCATGTACCGTTGCATGTGGCCTTGTAACGTACCGTAGCTTTGGGTTTATAATCTAGCCTTTTTTTATTTGCTCAGACATCAGGAATGCGCAATAATTCTAATAATTAGACTGTTCCATCCAGTATTCAGATTGTTTTATGATACATGAAGAGGCTGGGAAGGTTTTTTTTAAATTAAAAATATTTGGGGGCTGCTATATTTCTTACATTGACCCAGAAAGATGGAATCTGCCCCTCCCAAATAATCCTGTTTAAAGCAGTGGTCGGTTCGACCATTTTGACTAAACCGGTAGTGGTTTGGCGGCCTGGGTCACTGGAACCATCAGCGACCCAGGCCTGCCACATCCACGAACCGATTCTCTGGGCGGCACTGTAGGCTCCACCATCTTGTTTATTGTTTCTGCACGTGCATGGAACAATTTTTATTGTGCTGCACATGCGCACACAGCATGCATCAAGCACCCACACGAGCGAACCGGAAGTAGTGCCTGCCGGAATCCACCCCTGGTTTAAAGCCTTATAAACCAGTCAGGTGTCTTAAAGCAGTGTTTCTCAATATTCCCGAGAATTCTGGGAGTTGAAGTTCACTCCTCTTAAAGTTCCCAAGATTCAGGAACGCTGTCTTAAATAATAAAGAGAGAAGTCTCTTTGTGCAGCTTTTCTACACTTACCCCCTTTCAGACCCGATGATTCAGTGCTGCCAGTTTGATTTAGACTTTCTGCACTGAAGATTGGCTCCCCTTTACACTCAATTCCATCCCAAGTAAAAAGACTGCAGTGGAACTTTGGGGCTCAATTGTGTCATTGAAAGGCAAAGATGTGAATGAGAGTAGCAAGAGTTCTCAGGAAATTCTAAAAAGACAAACAGTAATGCTGAACATAATAAATAGTAAGTCTGTTTTTTTCTTCCATTCAAACACATTTGACTCACGAGATCTGCCTAGAGAGCTCCCTGGCCAGTTTTCTTGGCAATTTGTTTTTCCCAGAAATGATTTGCCATTGCCGCCTTCTTAGGGCTGAGAAAAAGGCTCAGGCTTAAAATCATCCAGCTGGCTTTGAGCTCGAGGTGGAACTAGAACTCACAGTCTTCCACTTTCTAGCCTGATGCCTTAACCACCATACTGGCTCTCATTAACAGGGGTGGGTTTTAAAAATTTTAGCAAGGGGTTCTCTGCCCGGTTGCTGGGTGGGCGTGGCCATGGTGGGCATGGTCTAGTCAGCCTCCTGCACCATGGCGGGGGGGGGCGTTTTTGCCCTCCCCAGACTCCAGAGGCTTTTTTTGAGCCTCCGGAAGGGCGAAAATGGCCTTCCCAGGCTCTAGAGGCCAAAAACGGACCATTTGCGGCCTTCCCAAACTTCTGGTAAGCCTGTTTTTCACCCTCCCCAAGCCTCCATGTGCGCCCTGCACTTACCTGCATCCAAAACGGGCTGCGTGGGGACTCCTGGGAGGGGAGGGGTGGGAGGGACCAGCCAATGAGTGGGATTTGGTGGTTCTTCGAACTGCACCGAATCTCAGAGGTTCTCCTGAACCCTTACAAACCCCCCAAAGCCCACCCCTGCTTAAGTCTACATACTTTGTCAAGATAATTTCAGAGCAACCTGTACCTATGAGCCGAGGTGGCGCAGTGGTTAGAGTGCAGTACTGCAGGCCACTTCAGCTGACTGCTAGTTCTGCAGCTCGGCGGTTCAAATCTCACCGGCTTAGGGTTGACTCAGCCTTCCATCCTTCTGAGGTGGGTTAAATGAGGACCCGGATTGTTGTTGGGGGCAATATGCCGACTCTGTAAACCGCTTAGAGAGGGCTGAAAGCCCTGTGAAGCGGTATATAAGTCTAACTGCTAACTGCTATTGCTATCGAGAAACAGAAACCCTGAATGGAAGAGCAGACCAAAGTGGTTAGTCAAATGGTGATGTAAAGAGAAAAAATGTAGTCAATCAGCAGCTCAAGCAAAGGTGGGCAAATGCGTGGCCTTCTAGCAATGTCTGAATGCCACCTCCTTATCACCTCTGGTTAAGATGACACACTGTTCACGCCCAATTTGGAAAAAAAAACCTGTTCCAAATATTACTGTGCATGGGGCATACCTAATTTTCCAAATAGCATTCCACTCTTACTGCTGTGTTTAATCCAATTTATCAGCCTCGTCTTACACATTAACACCAAAAACTATTGTAAGCACTATCGTAGCGTGTAGTTTTTATTATTTTTGCATGCATGTTCCTTGGAGCACATCTTGTTAGGTTGACCAGCAAGGGGACATTCATAGGATTGGAGCTCTGCACTGTAATTCTACTCATGTACTTGATCAAAAGAAAGTCAATTGACTTCTGACTAAAAACAATGATTACAAAGCAACATCCAGGCTGCGAAACATGTTAGCAAATAGCCCCGCTTGAAATGAGAAGCCAAAGGAATGTTTGAACAGTTGTGTTCACTGTCCTTAGAAAGCTTTTAAATAGTGGCAGTTTGGGCATAAAGTGGACGTTTATTAACATGGCTGGACATTTTCTGTTTTGGAGGAGAGCTTGTTTTCATGTACAAACTTAAGGAACATCCTTTGCTGAAACTGATGCTGTTTAGGCTCTAACAACCCACCAGGTTTGACATCAATTTCAATTTGTAATCACCAACACTTCTACCATTAAAATATACAAGGATGCTGCATACATTAAAACTGTATTGCTTGTTATCGCTGGTATGCCTGGATTTTAATTACCCTGTGGAGACTCAGTCAAAGATGGTTCCTCTGAAAAAAATTGCCTATTTAACTCACTAAAATACTTTATATGACCTCATGTTTTAAATTCTCACTGTAACAGAAGATCCATTTTTGCCTGCATCCCACTTTGCTGTGTAGGCTGTGTAACTGCTAGTGTGTTAAGAGAATGTTGGACCACGGGGGCAGCTGGGTTTTCTCGAGAACGCTTCTTATTCATGCCTGAACCTGGTGCATGAAATATATCTCTCTATATACCTACTTAGAGGAATTTCCCTTTCTGAAGCTCAACTGTTACACATGCTTGCATTCTTTCTTTACTTCCCTGCATTCATCCCAATATAGCCTGATTTTACTTTCTGTCTCTGTGAAGGTTTGTACATCAACTCTAGATCTATAGTTACTTTCTCCAAGTACCGATATATTATTAAAATGTCTTGCCAAATTGCCCCATCAGGCCTTATGGCAAAGAAGCCTCTGTGAATCTCCATTCTTCTAGTATCCCATAGGAAAAATTGTTGGATGTAAAAGTTCTTTGTGCCCCATGATCAAGAAAGGAGCCTTGCTTAAAAGGAGGCTGAGTCTGTTTTTGTTTCATCTTGGTCTTTTAAAAAAAATCTAAGACAATGTCTCACTGTGATGTGATGTACACACTTCCCTTTGCAGTTCTGTTTTCTTGTCTGTCTAGAAGTGCAGTCCCTGCGTTTGGTGTCCTGATACACATGTGTCATGAAAAAAAACCAGCTGAACGTTTCCTAGTTGTGTGTGTTTATTCTTGTGTAAATCAAGCAAGTCCACCCTCCAAAAGCCACCAACTTGGCCATGATGACGATTGACACTATTGGAAATGAAATGTGCAAGCAACAAATAATAAGAAAGGAAATGCTTTTGTTCCACTTTATGATATATCGGTATACCAGAATGCCCCCTTTATAAAAAAAAAACAACCCATTTGCTTGACTCAGCTCTTAGCTTGAAACAAATACGGAGAAGATGTTTTACTGTCAGCTCTCCCCGCTCTTGCTGCCTTGTTACTCACCGCCTGTTTTTGCATAGGCTTAAATCAAGTGATGCTTACAAAAAAGCCTGGGGCAACAATCAAGATGGAGTTGTAGCCAGCCAGCCTGCCCGTGTTGTGGATGAACGAGAACAGATGGCCATCAGTGGTGGATTTATCCGCAGGTGAGGATTTTGAAGATTTTATTCTTCTTTTTTCCCCCCTTTTAAAAATGCAGTCTTCCCTTGCTTCTTTCCTGTTACTGGCATACTGGAGATGTGTCTCCAGATGGTCCTATTGAGAGTGTTAGTGCTGTTTACTCCCAGTTTGTACAGCCAAAATTCATTAGTCGAGCTGCACTAGAAATTTCCATCAACATTCTCTTGAGTATTTAGGAAGGATACCAAACATTAGCATCATTTGGGAGACTCCCTACCATCACCCCTTACCCAAATTGGTAGACATTTGAAAGCTAGAAACTTTTTAGCGGTGTATCCCTAAAGCCAAGAGATTTAGTAGGGATGGGAATGACAAGGCAATCAAAGATCCTCCATCTTTTTTCATAGATAATAATGCTAACAAATGACCAAAAAAAGGAAGAGATACTCAGTTCCTATTCTGGCATAGTCCCCTTCAACTAGAGAGGGGTATTCGACCAGGCAATTGCCAACAGCAGGATGAAGGGAAAGGACCAGAGGTGGTATTCAGCCAGTTCTGACCTGTTCTAGTGAACCGGTAGCAGAAATTTGGGTAGTTCAGAGAACCCGCAAATACCACCTATGGCTGGCTCCACCCCCATCTATTCACTGCCTCCTGAGTGCCAGCTGATCGGAGTCCCAGCTGATTGTCTGGGTCTTCTTCTGTTGCCCTGCCCAGGAGAACAGAGCTGGAAAGCAGGTTAGTGGGGTGGGGAGGGAATAGAGATTTTGCAGTATCCTTCCCCTGGAGTGGGGAGGGAATGGGGATTTTGCAGTATTCTTCCCCTGCCATGCCCACAACCGATGTCCACCAAGCCTCACCACATCCACCGAACCTGTAGTAAAAATTTTTGAATCCCATCACTGGAAAGGACTGAAGTTTGTTACCTGTGAAAACATAGGTCCGGCATGGCTCCACTTGCAGTTAATCACAACACTATCATATGCCAACCATTCCAGCCTTCTCCCTGGAATTGTTAGATTATGCATCCAGGCCAGTGGTGGGATTCAGCCAGTTCTCACCTATTTGGGAGAACCGGTGGTTAACTTTGTAAGCAGTTTTGAGAACCGGTTGTTGGAAGAAATCTCCTTTTGTTTTTTCCCCCACTTTACAGGGCTAATTCTGTAAGGAAGGCAGGAAGGAAACATTCTGGTGTTGTTTCTAGCCTAATCTTTATTGCCCTGCTTACAGAAACTGCCTCTCCAGTTAACCCTTATTACATTGTTGCAGCTAAGGTGAAGCGCCCATCGACCTGAGTGATGTTGAGTTGGCCACGCCCATCCAGTCACATGACCCCCCGAGCCCCACCTACCCAGCTGGTCATTAGGGCAGAGAACCGGTTGTTAAATTATTTGAATCCCAACACTGGTGCCAACC